TGTTGAAAATTAAAAGATGGAAACCTTTCTTTGTGTATGCATGTTTAAATTAAAAGGAGGTAATGGAAAAATTGATAAAGAATTAAGTTTGGTAGAATTATTTGTTTTAGGTTCCCTTTGGCATACTTAGAGCTGGATGTTGCTATTTTCATACACAATCAAGCCTTGGGAATGAACTTTCAGCACGAGTGTCTGTTGGTAGTTATCCCCAAATCTTTTCTTGAAATATTTCAATGGTTAATATTTTCTGCATGCCGAGAAAGATATTTTTCTTTCTTCCTTTTTTTTTTTTTAAGACCTTTTTGTTTTTTAAGAGAAGTCATTTTTATTTATTTGGGAAAAATACATAAGTTCCTATCCCTTTTAACTTCACACTTTCTTGGCTTGCATTCTGGATAGCATGTAATACTTTTTTAGTAATTGCCTTGATAGGTTTTAGACGAAGAAAGATGGTAAATGGTTGGTCTGTAGCATTTTGCAGCATTTTATAGGTATGCCATTCCCATGACTGCAGCATTACCTAATCTTCCAAGAAAACAGAACTGTGCTATTTCTATAATGTCATCTTAAGCTGTGGGCACCCCCTCATATGAGTCCACATATACTGTAGGAAGATATCCTAAGTGACACATGAAGGGAGGTTTTTTAGTTTTGTCTTCCTTTAAGGTGTTCTGTATTTTCCTATTTGTCTTGTTTCTTTTCAAAATTCTATAAAGTTCTGGAATTTCCTAATATAATGCTTCTCTTGGTACACATGATTATATGTGGGAAAAGTCTATTGCAGAGAAAAACCAGCCCAGACCATGGTTTGTGCTCTGATTGTAAGTGCTTTGTTTGGATCAACACACTTAAAAATTAGGGTCTTGATAGGTTAATCCCCTCTCCCCCACCCTGTACTGAACCCAGGGACTCTTTACTACTGAGCTATATCCCCAGTCCCTTTTATTTTTTAATTGAGACATGGCCTCACTAAGATCCTTAGGCTGGCCTTGAATTTGTGATTCTTTGCAATCTGAAGAATTGCTGGGATTATAGGTGTGAGCTTTCTTGTCTTGCTAGGATGAATCTTTGGAACTTGTAACTATAGGATTATAAGAGTGGGTAATAAATAACTGATGATTAGTCACTCAAGAAGTTTTCAAGCGCTGGGGCAGCCCTGTTAAATGAATCTGGCTTTCTCTTCTTTCAGGCAGATCTGAAGGTGATGGATTGATTACCACCTCTTTCATTCATGTCTCTTGTGATCTGTTTGTGTCTTTTGTATCAACACTGCTCTCATTCTACAGTGTCTCATAACATCCACTGGGAAAGACCTCTGAACATGTCCATTCAGAGTCCATTATGGTCCTGCATGGCCCCGCATAGCCCCTCCGGAACCAGTGCAAAAGCAGTTTCAGGCTGATCCCAGGATTGCAGGAGGGTCACTGCTGTTTGTATAAAAACACAACCTAAAACACAGTGTCAGAGGAGGGCATATTTCAGGTCTGTTCTCGAATTGCAACAAACAGCTGTAAGGCAGACCCAAGACCTTACATTTCCTTTCTTCCAAATATCACATTTCTTTAAGAAGGAACTACTTTAAAAAATTTCTCTGATTCCCTGTTTATATTTTTCCATTTACAGGAATGTTCCCTAGAACATTTATTTACTCCAGTTAGTCTTGATGTTGAAGGTGAAATTTTAGCTAAAGAAAATAATGCTAATACAAAAGAAGAAAGTAAGGTTTGGCTGTAATTTCTAAAGTTTGAGCTTATTGTGGATAAAATTTGTCTCAGATACTCTGTTATCTGAGCACCAATGTGTTTGGTATGAGAACCAGTTCTGCATGTCCAACCTTAATAATATGCTGTTGACTGGAATCTTTCAAATACGGGAAGGAAACCAGAAGTGTGGCATTTAGTTCTTAGTTTCCTTGAGCCAAAACCTCCTCCTAGAATTCTTCTAAATATTTAACTCTGTTTGAGTTTGTACCCTCTTTTGAAAATGCACCAAATACACTAAACCTCTTGCTTTTTTAGCTGAAAAAGCACTGAAAAAGAATCACATTTAGTAATTTTTAGGAGAAAAGTATGCATTGTTATTGTACAAATATGATCACTTACATATGAATTTTGTTTTTAGAGGTGAGAGGAAAGTTAAAGGCTTAACTCTTCTAGATGTCCGGATAGTGAGGAGATTTGTGTGAAGTTGTGTGTGTGAAACTAGTGATGATTTTTATATGGGGCTGTCTATGCTAACTGGCATTAGGATATGTGTTAGTGAATGTGTTCTAACAAGTTTAAGGGAGCAAGCATCCTCTCACCCCGTGCCTCAGAGAGTCAGGGAAGGGAGAAGATGGGGTTTGTCATGGTGTTGTTTTCCACAACTGGGCAATTGCCATTGAAATATTTCTTGAGACCTGGGAAAAGGAAAAGTCAGACTCCTCTACCAAATGCCAGGCCATTTCTCATCATTCTCCTTAGGAAAATTAGTTTTTGGAATTCATTTCCAAGTGACGGTTTGTGGGAGTTAACTGTGAGTTAAAATATCTAAGAATGGACTTTGATATCCCTTGAAGGGTGAAACTGCTTTTGCTTGCTTTCAGTATCTCGGTTTTTACAAATAGGTGAGATCACAACTTGACAAAGGCCTTTTAATAAGTTCAGCTGATTTGATTTGGACTTTGAAGTCCTTGGATTGAAAAAAGTTCTATTCCTGCCTTAGAGCTTTTTCTGTTTCCCCCGGTTCCCATTTCATCCGTGATCACTAAATAGGAAGATCTTGGCTACATAGGATCACTAAATGCAATAAAATAGCAAAACAAAATAGACATGGACAGTCACAGGTGACCGTTCGAAGAATACTGCAGTTCTAAAATAGGTTAAGCCTGTTGATCATGACTTTATGGATGATTTATGGTACCAACATTTTTTAAAAAGTTAATTCCTCCTTTTTCCCCCCTAAAGTGTGTTTTGTTTTGCTTACTGAGGATTGAACTCAGGGGCACTCCACCACTGAGCCACATTCCCAGCGCTATTTTATATTTTTATTTAGAGATAGGGTCTTGCTAAGTTGCTTAGTGCCTTGCTATTTCTAAGGCTGACTTTGAACTCCCGATCCTCCTGCCTCAGCCTCCCAAACCTCTGGGGTTACAGGTGTGCACCACCATGCCTGGCTTCCCCTAAACTATGGGACTTCAGATGAACCGAAAAATGTTTTTACTGTGGCAAAAATAGATAGAGTATAAATTTGTCATTTTAACTATTTTTAAGCGTACAGTTAAATAGTATCAAGTACTTTTATACTGATACACAACTATCATCATCATCCATTTCACAAACATTTAATCTTCCCAAACCAAAACTCTACAAACATTAACAGTAGCTCCTGACTCCTCTTTTCCTCCAGCCCTGACAACCACCTTTCCAATCTGTCTCTGAAGATCACTCTAGGTAGTTATGTAATTTTACAATTTTTGTCCTTTTGTAACTTATTTTACTTAGCATAAGTAATATCTTCAAGGTTCATCCATGTTGTAACATATTCAAGGATTTCATTTTTTAAGATTGAATAATATTCCTTTGTGTGTGTGTGTGTGTATGTGTGTGTGTGTGTGTGTGTGTATGTACATAGTTTTACATATGCTATACTTTGTTGATCCATTCATCCATTGATGGGCACTTGGGTTGCTTCCATCATTTAGCTATTATGAAAAATGCTGCTCTGGGCATGGGTGTATAAATATCTGTACCCTGGTTTCAATTCTTTGGAATATACACCCCAAAGTGCAATTGCTGGGTTGTATGGTAATTCTGTGTTTGCTAGTTTGAGGAGCCGAGATATTGTTTTCCACAGTGGCTGCACCATTTTACATTTCCCACTGTGGTGTTAACATTTTTATGTAGCTGCTGGACATAATATTCTCCAGTCTCATGGTACTCTTCTGTTTCTTAGTATACAGATTAGTAGGCAGAGATAAAAGGTTAAGATACACTCTCACTTGAAATTTATTTAAGCACAAATGAAAGATGGTGAAATGGCAGTGGATGAATTTGGTAGAAAGAACAGGCATTGCTACTGTTTTCATGAGTTTATGAAAACCATTTTAACGTTTGAATCTTCAACACTTTAATCTTGTATGTACACATTTCCTGTGGTTGCAAGTGTACCTTGAAAAGTTTTTTTTTTTTTTTTTTTTCTGGTGGTGGGGGGCGGTTTTGTTAAATTGCTCAGGCTGGCTTCAAACTTGTGATCCTCCTGCCTCCCTGAGTCGCTGGGATTACAGGTATACATCACTATACACAGCTCAATTCTGATTTTTTAAAAAGCACAATACAGGATTAAAAGTCGGTAAAGCTGTTTCCCTACTTGCTGCCTCACCTTCTCACCCCTTTTTCCAAACATCACTGACCTCTGATCTCTGCCTCATCAACGTGCTATCACTGCCCTTTGCTCTTCTCACAGACCATCACGTGTTGGCAAAGAAGAGGATTCAGACTGAATTTATTCTAGGCCAGTGCTCTAGACCTTGAGAGAGCAAAGCCCATTCCCAGGATTTCTTTAGGATGTGCTTAGGGGTACAGATGGTTCGTTGAATGACCTTTCCACTGACTTACTAGCCAGATACTTCCTGAGACCATTTGGTGAATAAAATTGAATTCCTAAAATGTATCCCTAGGAGTTAGTGCCCAGGTGGGGAGGGTTGTCTCTAAGCAGGAAGCTGGCTTTCTTGGGGTGCTCTATGTGGTTTTTCACAGTGAAATGTTTGCTCTTTGATGTTTCTGTTGATTATGCTCACGCTTGCTTTTAGTCAGTGAGAACCTGGGGTGTGGCAGAATGACAACTTTGTCAACTTTGTCTTTGGTTTTCATTGTTTGAACTAGTTTTATCTTATTCCCTCCTTGATATTTTTTTTTTTTTTTGGTGTGTGTGTGTGTGTCCAATAGTTTTATTGGTGAATGAACCAGGTAGCCTTTTCTGTGAAAGGCCAAGTTGGTGCAAAAAAAAAAAAAAAAGGTAAATTCAGTTTGGCTACCCCCGTAAGGATTTATTTTTTAGAAAATCATGGCTCATTAAGGTAGATAATGATATTGTTTTTATACATGTATACTTGAAACCATTAAAAAAAAATAGAGGCTGTAACATTAAACCATAATCTAATCTGCATGTCCATCTGGGCTTCTGCATTCTCTGGTCTTTTGAAGTCCCTGGTTCCAAGTCTCAAGGCTCGAAACAAAGCAAAGAGCTTGAAGGCTTTGCTTTTTTCTCTACAATTCAGTCTTCAGCAACTTGAGAGCTTTCTTCATGTTGTCAAGCACTGGTGGGACAAAAGGTTAGGATAATCAAGTATCATCACAAATTGTATCAGGTTTTAAATAATAAATATAATCAATCTCCAGACACAGTACTCTATTCCCTGCTTAACAGGGTGCCTTTAAATCATGGAATGAATTGCTGGTAATATACTGTAATTTTTTTTCTAAAATTATGTGCCATGGCTTTTGTGACCACCCAGTTTTCTAGTGTGCTCATTACTTCTCAGATCTTTTCTCCAACTCTTCTTACAAAAGAATCTCTTCATAAGCTCTATTGGAACATATAGACTAATAGAAGTACATTTTAAACCATGTTCATAGGAAATATCCATTAGGTGTGTGAAGCTACTGCAAATTGTTTTAGAATTGGGTGGAATATAAATTATAAATAATAGTAAACCAAGTGTTTGACACAGATAAATTAATCCAAATGAACACCCTATTAGCATTGGGTATGGTGGTGCACGCATGTAATCCCAATGACTCAGGAGGCTGAGGCAGGAGCCCTAAGCAACTCAGTGACACCCCATCTTTAAATAAAATACAAAAAGGACCTGAGATGTGATTCAGTGGTAAGAAACCCCTGAATTCAATCCCCAGTACCAAAAAAACTCTACTGTCACTTCATTTTTAGATAATGAAACAGGCTTAGATGGGGCTAAGCATAGTTTGTGCAGGATCACACAGCTATAACAAGTGCTGGAGCTGTGCACCAGAACCCAAGCTTCTAACTTGTATCCCTTTAGCAGCAACTCATGAATATGAGATCTGGGATCTGGTGACAGGATATCCACATGAGAGACCTACACTGAGCAGCTGCTTATTCACACATTCCACAAATATTTATTACATGTCTGTTCTATAGGGCATTATAGGATACATGCTGCTAGCTCAAGAATGGTCAGGACTTGCAATGTGCTTCCCCTTGTCTGCACGGCTCCTACTAGAGACATTAATGAACCATGAGGAGTTGTTCCGTGGATAAGGCACAGACTTTCTGCCCCAGCAAAATATTCTAAGCCAGTGCTCTCCAGTAGAAAACCCCTTGCTGTGGACTGAGTATTTGGAATATGGATGGTATAACTGAAAAACGGAATTTTTAATAGTAATTAAAAATTTAAGAGCAAAAAAAAAAAATTACATAGCAACAAGTGGCTAATGGCTAACATATGGGTAGTGAGGTTCTAGGCAGTCACAATAATTGATCAGTACTGGTTCCCAGGATAAAACCCAGTTTTCTTCCCAGTAGGAGTAAGCAGATGTCATAGCCAGGTATATTCTCCCATTTAGGTACCTCATCTGCCTCAAGTGTGTGCCTGCCTCCTCCTCCCCCACTCCCCTCTCTCTTCCAGTATGGCAACTGCTAAAAAAAGTGAGTATCTTGGCTATTCCTTGGATCATCTTGCCCATTGATCTTTAAATTGAGCCTGACTTCAGCTTCAACAAGCTGGACTATATTATTTCGGTTTGTGATTTGGGGAGAAAAACTATGCTAATTATTGCAACTCTTGCATCAATTCTGTGAAGGAAGGGGTTATGTGTTAGTTAGTGTGCCTGAGAGATAACCTGAAGTCCAGGTAATGTGGTCATGGAACTTTTCTAGAGAAAAAGATACCTGTTCTAAAGGGTTCTTCTTCACTTGAGATAAAAATAAAATAAATTGAATTGGAATGAGAGTGATTTACCTCGTTAAGGTCAAACTGATTCTGTCTCTGCTGTACTTAGCAGAGCTCTCTCTCACTTCACCTGTGCCCTCTCATCCCACCACTATAACCAACCTCGTTGTGCTACACCTGGACAACATCCAAATTGGAAGTACCACTTACATAAAGCTGTGTCCGAAGGTTCATAAGCATAGAGACGATTTGAATATCTTCCGGTGATGTCAGCTCTGACTGTCAGGGATGGGTCTGCAGAGATAAAAGGAATGGGATTTTTGTTTTGTTTTTTACAAGTAGCTTTTATTTCACGATGAGCCTAAGTACTCATGTCCTGTTGAACACTGTGTGTTCTGCATCACACTCCATCCCGTCTACTCTGCTGCCCAGCCAATGCAGGGCTGGGAGCATTGGACAGCTGTGCTGTGTTGTTTTTGGAAAAGGATATGAAACCTGTTGTTCTGTCTAAAGTGACCTGAAAACAGGATTATATATATTTGGGGGATGATGTTTTATTGATGAGAATATTAACATCCATTCCTACAGAATTATTGTAAACTTCTGGAATAATTGCATTGTAGTTGACATGTTTTACCAAGAGCAACCTGGATAATTAGAAACTTACATTTAATGCTGGTTTTCATTTTCTTTTAACAAATGGAAGAATGCAAGCCCTTAAGAACAGCAAGGTCAAATAAACACTAATTGTTCCCCACTATTTTTTACTTTGTTGTTTAATTAGCTGCATTTTAAAGATAGAAATTTGAGGGGCTGGGACTGTGGCTCAGTGGTAGAGCGCTCATCTAGCATGTGTGAGGCACTGGGTTCTATCCTCAGCATCACATAAAAATGAATAAAATAAAGTCCATCTATAACTAAAAATTTTTAAAAAATAGAAATTTGAGTCTTTTGTGTCTATTTATATTTCTTAGATTTAAATCCATTTTGTCATGTTTTATATGTAGCTTGAAGTTAAATGGTTAATGAGAAAAGATCTTAAAAATAAGATGCACCCAAAAGAGGTCTGAGTGCCATTCTACCAATGAGAGAAACATGGTGCTTTTTTCTCAGATGTATTGTGGCAGAAAATGAAAAGTTAAAATTAGCTGATGAGGAAAGAAGTTGTCTGTGTAAATAGGTTGAAGCTCACACTAAAGAAAATATGCTGTGAAATGCCACATCCACAGGAATGCCTTGCTAGAGTTTAGCAGTGATCTTGACTGTGGCGAAGTGGCAGAGTAGTGTGAGAAGGAGAGAAAGGGATGTGCAGCACTTGCACAGTGTATTGAGCATGTTTTATCTTGTCACTCTCACTTACCCACAAACATAATCCTGGGGACGTACTGGCCATCAGGAGAAAGATGTTTGTCGGTTGTTTCATACTAAGATTTAAAAAAGAAATGCAGATTTTAGTTTGCTTACTCTTTGATTATTTTCAAACTTTTTAACTCAAGATTGTGTTTGTGCCTAGCCTGGTGGCAAATGCCTGTAATCGCAGTGGCTCGGGAGGCTAAAACAGGAGGATGGCGAGTTCAAAGCCAGCATGAGCAAAATCGAGATGCTAAGTAACTCAGCGAGACCCTGTCTCTAAATAAAATACTAAATAGAGCTGGGGATGTGGCTCAGTGGTCGAGTGTCCCTGAGTTCAATCCTCAATACCAAAAAAAAAAAAAAAAGAAAAAGATTGTATTTGTTAGTGGGCTAAGAACAGAAGATATCTGCTCCAAAGAATTTATGGATATAGGTAGGGAGATAAGTTACGTGCATGAAATAATAAGAACAGAATGTGATGCAGACCATGAGGTAAAGAATTGAATGGATATGATATGGAAAGACCAAAGAAGTTCAAGAAGGAGTATCTGGAAGGAGTTGTGATGTTGTGGGGGAAGAAATCTTGGATGAGGTAGGAGGAGATGGATTAAAGGAAAAAAAAGCAGAAGATATTTTTGGAGAAATTATAAAAACCAAAAGGATTTTCTTGAGCATTCATCTGTCGGTTTCTATTTAGAATGTTACTGATTTAGCAAGACACAGTGCTTATTTTTAATGAATGCATAGTCTTTTGTGAGATCCAGGTAGGAAAGTGCATGCTGAGGGTCCAGTGGGTGAAATGTTATGATGGGATATACAGGGTTTTGGATGACTGGAGCAGGACATTGATCCCAATATGAAAGTTCCCGGGGACTTTCTGAAGTGGGTGAGGAGGAATATTAAAGTGAACAGGGATTAATTATGTGGGGAAAAAAGATCACTCCATGAAGTAGGTCGGTCGGTTAAGTGCAAAGGTATGAGAGGAAAACATGGCACTTTCTTGTATGACCAAGCGTTGTATGACTAACGCTTGGTCATAGTGAAGCATTATGGACTCTTGAGAGCAGTTAAGTTGCTTCTGGGGGCATCTTCTGACTGGCCCTGCTCACCATGCCACAGAGTTTTCATTTGCTCAGAAACACGAGCTCCTGAAGGGATGCTTGAAGAGGCACCACGACCTGTTTGGTCCTTAGAGTGATTGCCCTGATAGCCCTGTGGGATCAGGTGGGTTTATCTTGTAGGCAGGAAGATGCTTAGTAACACTGCAGTAAGCTAGGTGAAGTGAAAGGTCATACACTGCAATGTATAATGATAGCAGGAACATTTAGAATGTATGAGCAGAGAGCTTCTTGACGACTACAGATAAGGAGAGTGTGATCCAGAAAAGCACTGCTTTCAGTGAAATAGGGAATAAAGACAAATGAGCTATTTGAAAAACCTGAACCAAGGTGTGGAGCATACTGAGTTTAAGCTAATTATGAACTATCTGGAACAGGGTTGGATAGGCAAGTTGGAAGTTGTTGCATGTTTAGGTAAGATGTAGGAAATTAGTGTATAGGAATCAATTTAACTCAAGTATAGTTGATGATGTCCACAGAGAGTACAAGATATAAAAAAAGTGGGTTATCAAATAGAGATTCATTGATTCATTCACATTAGGAGTAGAAAGAGGAAGAGGAGCCTATGGAAGGGAGATGAGAAAGAATTATTGATATGGATTGTTCTTTGAAGAAGATGAGGAAGAGAGGCTCAAGGGAACATATGCTTAGTAGAATTGATTTTGTTTGTTCACTTTCAAAAGGAAAGTGGAGCTGGGCATGATGGAGTATGCCTGTGATCCCAGCAACTCAGGGGAGGCTGAGGTAGGAGGATGGTAAATTCTAAGCCAGCCGTAGCAATTTAGCGAGGGCCCAAGCAATTTAGTGAGACCCTGTCTCAAAATAACAAAGGGTGGGGATGTGCCTCAGTGGTTAAACACCCTGGAGTTCAATCTCTGGTACAAAACCAAACCAAACCCAAAAGCCCTTTTTGTCTCCCCCTGGGGAAGACAGGAAGCTTGAACATCAGGAGAAGTGTCCATGGTGAAGTCAAGTGGGAATACATGAAGCTACAGTGTGAAGAGGCAGGATCTAGATTCAGAAAGCCTGGGAACTGGCTTCTTCACATGGCAAAGGGACAGTGATTGAGAAGCCAGGACTTCTGGGACACAGACACAGGACGTACTTTGCAAAATGTAATTACCTTTCCATTATTACAGAAATAGAAAATAACCTTGCTGCAGGAGAGGTTTTTTTTGTTTGTTTCTGACAGGCTAAGGTTATTAATTACTAAATAAAAACATAGACATGCCAGATAGATTATCAATAAGATGAAGTATCTTTTTTTTTTCTTTCCAATCTATGAGATGGGCTATTTGGAAGAGATCCCAGTTAATGCAGTATGACTGAGATATATAGAAAAATGAATCACCCTTTTCACATAATGAACTGGAGGGGGGGATGTTAATGATGTAAAGCAAACTTACAACTAGATTGAGGAGGACAAACTGCTCCGCCAATTTCTGGATATCTTTATTGTCAGCAAACACTTTCTTTAAAGCTACAATGTAAAGCAACATCATTAAATAGTGTCAGCATGGGTTAAAACTCTTGTTTTCTGTTGTATTTTTAAATCAGTTGTGTTTTCTTGTTCTGCCAGGCTGGGATGGACCCAGGGCCTTGAACATGCCAGACAAGGTGCTGTACCACTGAGCTACACCCCAGTCCCCAAGTTGTGTTTCAAATGCAATACACCTTGCCCTTTCAGTGAACGATTTGTGAAATAACACCCAACCATTGTCTCCCTTTGCTTTTTTTCCATTCACTCACCCATTTACCTTTTTTCAACACGTATTTACCGACTGCCTACTATGTGGCAGGTATAGTTTTATGCTCTGGGGAAGATGCAATAAAGAGAAAAGCATATGCTTTTTCTGTAGAGAGAGGCTTGTGTGAGGGACAGACCAAAAACAAGTACATAAGCAAATATTTAGTAATTTCAGGTGGAGATGTGTACTTTGAAGAATAAGTGAGGCAAGGGGTTTAAGAGATAGGGCAGATCTCTCTGAGGAAACGACATTGAAGACAGGGTGGTCCATTATGTGGGTAGCGAGTTAAAATTTGGGGGGCAGGTCACTCTTGGCAGAGGAAACTGCAAAAGCAATAGCCTCAATATGAGAGTGGGCCGCGAGGCTCAAGAAATAGCATAAAGTCCAGGCTAGATAGAGGACTCTGAGAGCAAGGGAGAATGGTGGGAAAGGAAAGGTAGCCTTTGGCTAGACTGGTCAGCACTTGGGGCTTAATTCTGCCTGTGAGGAGAAGCCATTTGAGCAAAAGAGTGACAGGATTTGCTTTGTATTCATTAGCCTCTCTCTGGTTTCTGTGTGGAGAACTGACAGGAGGGTGATGAGTTAGTGGCCGTTACAGCATTCTAGAGCAGATGTGATCTTGGCTTGGGCCTTGAAGCAATAAAAAGTACTTGGAGGGCTGGGGTTGTGGCTCAGTGGTAGAGTGCTCGCCTCCCATGTGTGAAGCCCTGGGTTCAATCCTCAGCACCACATAAAAATAAATAAAATAAAGGTATCATGTCCATCTACAACTAAAATATATATATATATGAAAAAGAAGTGATTGGATTTGGTCAGGACCAGCTAGATAATGTATCCCAAGGGCAAAATGAAAATGCAAAACCTTTTGTTCAAGAATTGTTCATAATTTTAAGACATTGGTAGCAGAGAACTAAATCAAGTGTGGGAGCCTTCTAAGTTATGGGTCCTGGCACAGGTTGCATGTGGGTGAAGCTAGTGCTGGCAGAAGGATCTTTGAAGGTAAAGTCAACAGTATATGCTGATGTCTTGAATGTGGTACATAAGAGAAATCATGAAGTCGAGATGAATCTGAGAGCTTAATGTTCAAAATATGCATCAATGATGAACACAAAATCTGTAAATATTTGAGTTACTTTAAAACATGTTTTTACTACATAATATATACTTCTTTATATATATACATACATATATTTATATATTTTATATATAAATAAATATTTATATATTTATAAATATATACACATACACATACATATATGTGTATATATATAATAATAATAATAATAATTATTATTATTTTTTAATAACTGGAGAGTGAACCCAGGGCCTCACTCTTGTGCTAGGCAAGTGTTCTAACATAAAGCTATATTCCCAGCTCCAGCCCTCTCTTATTTCTTTCTTTTTAAAAAATTTTTTTTAGTTGTTGATGGACCCTTAATCATTTATTTATTTGCGGTGCTGAGAATCGAACCCAGTGCCTCACATGTACGAGGCAAGCACTTTACCACTAAGCCACAACCCCAGCCCTCCTTTCTTATTTCTACTGGTATAAAGATAGGTGATCCGAACCCTGGTTCTACCTAAAAGCTCATAAAGAAAATCATATTTAGAAGAATAAATACCTTGGCTGTGTGGGCATTCATCCAAGTGATGAATAATCATCAAGGGCTTGTTACTGTAAGAGACAAAGGGTGATTTTTGGTGGGTAGGATTTCATATAGACCTAGGGTCACTAGATGGTGCTCTTGAGAGCCCAGAGAGGGCTCTGTGTAACCATTGTCTTTACCTCGTCTTGGATTTGTATAGAGCTTCTTCATATGTCTGAGTCCAGATGAGTAGATCACCCCAACCTAAAACAAAATAAACCAGCATATTTCAAACCACTATAATTTCAGGCCAAAACCTACTGAGAAGCAATAGTGAAGACTGGAATAAATATATACTCAAAACAACCTTGAGAAAAAAAACCTTGAGAAAGTAGAAGTAATTATAAACTAGGATAAATCTAAAAGAAACAGAGTAAAATATATTCTGTGCATGCATTTCAGCACCAAGAGTTAGGAAGTCCTTCCCAATGAAGTAGGAGCTGAAAGCCAACGAGAAGCTGACTCCCACCTCTGGAGAGGGTCTGTGGCAGTTTGGGTTGAGAGTCCTTTGTGTCCTTTTTAGCTCCAGGTTTGACTGTGGTCTCTTTGGCCAGACTGTAGGAGAGGGCCACAAGGAGCAAGAACGCTGACATTGAAATTTTCTCCATGGCAAATCTATATGGAAAACAAACAAGAAGGAATTAGGACTCTTCAAGATCTATAGATTATGTCACAGAATCTGTGTGTAGTGGAATAGAACAGAAACAGGCTCTTCTGAGACTGGACTCATGAGATTGGAATAAAAGCTAACTCCCATGGGATTTTCATAAGAATACACAGTATGTGATGGGCACAGTGGTGCACGCCTGTCATCCCAGTAGCTTGGGAGGCTGAGGCAAGAAGATTGCAAGTTCAAACTCAGCCTTAGCAATTTGGTGAGACCCTAAGCAACTCAGTAAGAACCTACCTCTAAATAAAATATTTTAAAACAGGCTGGGGATGTGGCTCAGTGGTTGAGCACCCCGAGTTCAATCTCTGGTACAAAAAATAAAGAAATAAAAAAATACATTATATGTCGGTCTCTGTGTCTTCCCCTATCTATCAATAGATATAGATCCATAAGAGAAACAGATATAACTTAAGGAAGGAGATAACTAGTTAGATGTATAAACTCCCCCCCCCCCCCACAGTGCTGGAGATTAAGTCCAGGGCTTCATGCATGCTAGGTTACTACTAAGCTACATCCCAGTCCTGTCTGTATATACTCTTGAAAAAAAGGTATAGTACCAGAAGTTATTTTAAGCATTACTACTTCTTTCCCACTTCCCTAATGCCTCATTATGTAGGTGAAGAATCCAAAGTTCAGAGAGATAACATTTGTGAGGTGGGTCCAGCACAAAAACTTCTAGATCTTTTCATTTTACAGGGCTGGCTTCTTCTCTCCTCCCTAAAACAATTACCCTAAACAGACTGGTTTCTTTAAGTTAAAATGGGTACATTGCCATTGAAGAATGAGCTATAAATAAAATGATCAATTCCTTATTTCATTTAGAACCTGCCAGCTTTGTCACTTAACTGAAGATTTGCACCCACACAACTCTCTCCCTGGTGTAATGTTTACTCAAACTCTGTATTAGCTTTGAATTGACTGAGACAATCAAAGTCAAGTTCCTTCCAGTGAAACATTCTTTGTGTGGGTCTTCAGAGGTGGGTCGTTGTGGGCATACATTGTAGAGCAAAAAATATTCTGTGAGATTCATAACATGAAGAAATAAACCCCAGGGGTGTCTGTGAAATTTCTTTTTTCCTTTCTGCTAGGCAGGCTTAGATGCCTGGGAACAGGAATGTGAATGACAAGATAAGTTCCATGAGTGCTGAGAGAAAGGGTGAGCTTAGTGAGCATAGTGGTGGCGCCACAAGTCAGTAAGGTTATCTTGGGGCCAGAGCATAGAAAGCCAGAGACTTGGGATTCTGGTAAAGCCAAACACTAATATTTCTTAAAAAGAAATAGGGAACCATGGCACCTAATACTGGGGTAGTTTTTTAATTAAGTCAGACTCTTCAAAGGAAGCAGGATGAATAATTGTTGCTTAGTGTTTGTAAGCCAGGAGTTTCAAACAATTTGATAGCTCAAGTGGCAATGTTTCACTAAGCATTAGATGATTAGAAAGAATGTTGCTGGGCCAGGGTTGTGGCTCAGTGGTAGATGCTTGCCTAGCATGCTCTAGGCCACTGGGTTTGACCCCAGGGCCACATTAAAAAAATAATAATAATAAAAATAAAATAAAGTTGTGTCCATCTACAACTAAAAATACCAAATCCAAGAGATGTGTTCTGTTAAACTAAACAAGTGTTAGTAGGTAGCCACATAATATCTTAGAAAAGACGTAAGCAAAATTCAGGGATATAATTTTTTTCTTTCTTTAATTTGTTTTTTCAATGCTTAGGATCAACTCCAGAGCCTTATTCATGCAAGAACTAGGCAAGAACTCTATGACTAAGCTATATTCCCAGTACTTTTTACTTTGAGACAGAATTTTGCTAAGTTGCCCAGACTGGTCTTGAACTTGTGATTCTCTAGCCTCAGCCACCTGAGTAGCTGGGATTGCAGTATGCACCACCATTCCCAACTTAATTTCTTCATTTTTTTTTATATTCATAAAGATGTAGAAATGCCAGTAATAACTTTTGTCTTCTAAAGGTCTACAAAAATAACTCAAGTATAATATAATTCAACAATACCCAGCCCTCTTAATATAAAAACTACTTTTTAAAATAAAAAAAGAACTTCCTTGTGAGAATCACTATACTTTTGAAATATTGGTTCAGAAATGTAAACTACTTTGAATTTATCAAAAGACATTTGATTTTGAATTTTATAATAGCATCTATGAATATTTGAAAAAATAATAGTAAATTGGGGGCAAAGCACTTCAGTCTGTTGACAATTCTCATATACCTAGTTCACAGGAGCCCTTGCAATAGTTCCACGGGTTATAGGTTGGAACTATTGGTAGATTACATGTGTTTTATGGCAGGATGACTGAAGGAAGGCTAATATAACTCCTGCTGTGCAAACATCCTGCTCTGGGTGATTTTCTCAGATTCACTCCACCGAGTTTTCATAACATGAAGAGACTCTGCTCCATATACTTTCTGCATAAGCTCCTCAAAACACAATGCTAACTTTGGAAGATTTTGATAATTTGGAAACACACATACACAGGAACATGAACACACACTGACACTTTGTGACACCACTTTTTACTGGTTGCTCCATCCTGGTCTTATCTTTAACAAAAAATGAAGTTGCAGGAGGTTTCAGAGTCCCTGTTATTACATATTATATCCAGCAAAGTAACTCACTTTCTTCTAACCGACAAGCCCATGAATTTTAAGATTGAAAACAAATAAATGAACAACAACAAGAATGTCTTTACACCAGACCAAAAAAAGAAAAAGAAACTCTTTCTGATTTGTAATAATATATTCCACAGGGGCAATTTGAGCTAAATTTTCGCATTGGAGGAGCTTTTGGGTCTTTGCTTAGCCAGTGGGAAAGAAGCAGAGCATAGATAGTGACTGAATGGACATCCATGGGCCCTGTCTCAAGCTTCAAAACTCCTATAATTCACCTGCTTTAAACCTCTTGTTTCTTAATGGAGAAATCACCACTTTGAACCTGCTCAGGAATGTTAACACTACAGCTTTAGTCAAAGGTCCCAGTAAGCCTTTGGTGGAAATTTCATTTTTCCATCTCCAAACCTCACTTCAGGGCAACCCAGGAAACTTGCATTTCTCTGTCGGTTGATAGTCTGCAAAGTTACAGAGCAATCAGAGGCCAAAGCTCACTCTAACAAGAGCCATTCCAAAGCTGTTGACAAGAGCCTTACCTGGTTTTCCCCACCCACCTGCCTTGTGAACCGGCTGGGATGTGTCCAAGCTTCTGAGTGTGCCAGCACAATTCAGAGCCTCTATTTATGCACCCCAGCACACCTCAATCCCACCCACTAATCCTGCATTTACATGTTGCTAACTCGGAAGAAAACTCTCCTTTCCCCAAACAATTGTCTTCCCTGGGTTAATGAGTTTCTTGTTTGTAACAACAACATTGCAAAAGGTATGCTTTTCAATATGCATGTTTTTAAACTATTTGTGAAAGTATATTGTTAAGAGTTTTGGAAAAGACAGGCAGAGTGCCAAATCCAGGTCAGCTTTAAATGAAGACATTTGATTTGTCTAAAGGCTGATTTGTCTTTGTGTGATTGGATGGTTTGTGGTTTAGAGAATTTTTTTTTTCCTCCACCTTAGGCAGATTGCCTTTATTTAGCTAAAAACACGAGAGATGATTCATAATTCTAACCCTGGCAGTCATACAACCTGCCATACTCCATTACAATACAAATTATTTTCCACAATACAGTTCCTTCCTCTGGTGTGTGTGAATGTGTGTGTGTGTGTGTGTGTGTGTGGGGTTAGCACATTAACTACAGCATAAAAAATACAAATTAAGTACCAATTGAATATTTCAAAACTGAGAAAGTTATTGTAAAAGGACATTTGACACTATGAACTTGTAAAAACTACATTAGTGATGAGTGTATATAGCAACTTCACTCCAAAGACTGAATTCAAAGGTATTTCACAGATATTTTTCTATTTATGACAAACTTTCCTTGTAGGCATATAGGAAACTACTTACCTAATTTTTCAGACTAGAAACTATGCCTGCGACTTTATTTATTTATTTTTACTTAAGATTATTTGATTACTCACTGAGGATTTTAAGACTGGAACTCAAATTTTCTTTCTTTTTTAAAAAAACATTTATTTATTCTAATTAAGTATATACGACAGCAGAATGCACTTTTGATTTACTGTACATACAAAATAGAGCATAACTTTTTATTTCTCTGATTCTACACAACGTAGCGTTGCACCATATGGGCAGTCATCCATGTACCTAGGGTTATGATGTCCATCTCATTCCACCATATTTCCTGCCCCCATGCCCCCATCTTTCTCTCCATCCCCTTTGTCCAATCAAATGGAACTCAAATTTTCTGTTAGAAAATTTTAATCCTTCCTGAGTTTTCTTCATGAAGTTATATGTAATCCCTAAAAGCTCAGAGTGGAGAAATCTTTACCAGAAAATTAACTTATGAGATGCAAATTCTATAAAGTAACTTTTAAAATGAGTTAGGATCATTATATTTTAAAACACTTTCAAGCACGAATCTTTTCCCTCAATTTTCTCAATTTCTGAATTCTGTAGGCTAAATGTCATTCCCAAATGATGAATTTTCTTTGAATTCTAAACAAGTGTACAGAGATAATTTCATTAGGAGTTTGACTGAAAGCAGTAATTTGAGCTAAACACTTATAACTAGAATGGCTCTTATACAGACCCTTAATCTTTTCAGTCCTTAGAATGTTCAATTCAACTCCCCCTCATCTGCAGGTGAAAAAAAATGAAAACATCAAAAAGTTAATAATCTTCCAAAGGTCTCACAACCAGTTTAGGGCAAAACTGGGGCCAAAGCACAGGGGTCTTCTAATCAGTCATATGCAGAGAGTGTATGGCATTTAGAGTCCACAGATTCCAGAATGTGAGCATTCTGCCGCTTGGTCACTGGATGACAGCACAATGTCCTTTAACATCTCTGAAACTTTACTGTCCCTATCTATCAAAGAGATGATATACATGACTGTTCTGAACATCAAATGAGTTAAGAGAAAATATTTGACCTCTTTGGACTGCCATAACCAAATATCACAGCCCAGAAGGCTTAAACAACAGAACTTTATTTTGTCACAATTCTAGAGACCAGAAGTCCAAGGTGAATGTGTCTGCAGGGTTAGTTTCTTTTGAGGACTCTCTCCTTGGCTTGTGGATGTCCCAGTGTTCACCTGATCTTCTCTCTGTACCTGTCTCCTATTTCCTTTTCTTGTGAGAACACCATATTTGATTAGGGTCCAGCATACTGACCTATGAGTTCTTCTCGCTATATAGTCACATTCTGAGGTACTGGGGCTTAGGATTTCAATGTATAAATTTTGGGAAGACAAATTCAGCCACAGAACTGGATAATTAAAAACATTTCTGACTTGTTAGAACTAATTATTATTACATAATTATCTTATTGTACTCTGCGCCTAATCTCATTAGTGAAAAGCCAGTATGTGTCATAATGACTCAGGTACAGCAAGGAGGAAGAATACACCTTACACACACTGTGGTGGCTGTGGCATCTTTGGCATATCTGTCTTCATGCTTAACAGCTAGGGTTTTTTTTTTTGGGGGGGAGGTGAGGGCAGGTGGGTACCAGGAATTTGTATTTGTGTCATCATACTTTTAAAGGTTTTTATTCAAGAACATTTCTAAAGTAATTTTCTATTTTTGAATGAATTCTGGACACTAATAATAACTAGCAGATATTGAGTAACCAGTATACAGTGGACATTTGACTATATTGTTTCATTTATTTTCTAATTCATTTATTTCTTCACCATAATCAACAATTCTATGTAGCAAATACCATGACAGGCATTAAAAATACAAAGGTTAAAAAGATCTTGTAATCCCAGTGGCTTGGGAGGCTGAGGCAGGAGAATGGCAAGTTCAAAGCCAACCTCAGCAACTTATCAAGGCCCCAGCTAACTTAGAAAGATCCTGTCTCAAAATATAAAAAAGAGCTGGGGATGTGGCTCCATGGTAAGGTCCCTGGATTCAATCCCTGGTACCTGCCCCCTCAAAACAGATATGGTTAATTATTAAGGTATCTAAATGCTTACATAGATCATTGTAATTGAGGATTGTATGACACGCAAAGGGGAAAGCAGGCATATAGAAAGAAGTTTGATATTATCCTTGCCTCAGGGTTACTTAGAATATGACTGAGGAATTCAGACAGAATTGCACTAAAAATTATTTGCAGAATAGTATTCATTAAGGGACAAAAAGAGGTATAGACATCTGGTGTTAGTATTTTTCAGAGGAGGTAGATATTCTTATCCACTTGAAGACTCAAGTTGGTGGTAGAAAGCAAGATTACCAGGTGAAGACAGTGACACATAATTTGTGAAATACCTTTGTGGGATATTTCAGGGACCAGCCTAAATGGAGTGAGATCCGTCTGCATAGTTTGTAGACAACAGGTGCAAAGGTGTTTAGGGGCTATCTGCCTGGGGCATTTAATGTTACTCTGAGTTTAGACTTTATCCTCCAGAGAAAAAGTGTGATAGGGAAGAGGGCAAGTTGTAGATTTAGATTGGTTTGAACTCAAATCTAGTTTTATAACTATTACAGGTTTTATTAACCTAAGAAGGTTACTTAATCCCTTTGCTTTGGTCATCCAACCTGTCAAGTGAGGATGGGAAGGTCTACAGTTTATAGGATCTGTTCAAGATAATATAATAAAGTGCTTAGAACATAGATAGTACTCAAAAATAGTAGTTATTAGTACAGAATGTATCACTTGCTTCTCTGCATTATGATCATTGAGGTCTCAAACTATAATAGCATAATCTTTGATTACTCTTTCATAATAGACTTCATAAGGCTTAAGCTTTCAACACATAATTTTGTCATTTGAAAAATTAAGTTATTTTTTCTTTAAAAAAATTAAATAAGCTCAGATGAGTAGACATAAGTAGCCCAAAGCCACAAAACTGGAGATTAAAGGACCTAAACTTTTCTCTAATTGCTGATAATCAATTCAATGTTCCTTTCCATACATCAAGCTACCTTCTGAGTTTGTTTATTTATTGGTATTGGGGATTGAGCTAGGGCCCTTTCCCTGTGAGCTACACCCCAGACCTTTTTAATTTTTATCGTGAGGCAGGGTCTCACTAATTTGCTGAGGCTGACATAGAACTTGGAATCCTCCTGCCTCAGCCTCCTGACTCACTGAGATTTCAGGTGTGTACCACCATGACCAGCCCATCAAGCTAGCTTCTGACCTCAGGAATTAATGAAAGAAACCTGTAAATGCATGCTAACTCCACAAAATCCATAAGTTTTATGCAGAGAGAAGAGCATATGAGTTCTTATATTCAAGGGGTTTGCCTCAAAGGAGACTGGTCAAAAACATATCTAATTGAAGACTAAGTTTCTGAATAAATGAGTTCTCCCCACATTGCAACTTAGGGGAAAATAGACTCATAAAAATTTGTGTTTTGGCATAAGGAAGAATTGGTTGCCATTTGAGTTTTTCTTCTTAATGTCTGAGGAGGATTTTTGTGCACAAAAACAACTGTTTCCAGCTTCCTGGGTTTTAACTGGTACTCAGTGTATTAAAGATGAAACTTTAAAATGTATTCTTCTAGCCGGGTGCAGTGGCACATGTCTGTAATCCCAGGAGCTTGGGAAGCTGATACAGGAGGATTGCAAGTTCAAGGCCAGTCTCAGAAACTTGGTGAAGCCCTAAGGAACTTAGCAAGACTCTGTCTCAAAATAAAAATCAAAAAGGGATGGGAATGTGGCTCAGTGGTTAAGCGCCTCTGTGTTAAATCTCCTGTACAAAAAAGAAAAAAAAAAGGTATTATTTCTAAATCTGGAAGTTTAAAATTTACAGAATATAATCTATTTATGAAAAAAGTAAATTGGTATAAAATTTAAAGCTACATTTGTTTTTTAGAGATTAACTTGACTTCAATAGATTAAATTCACCTAAATTTACTAGATTACATTTTAATGACCTATATTCAAGAGAATAAAAAATAAATTCAAAAACCATATTCAAATTTATAAAGATAACAAAATTCCTTTAAATATTTCAAAGTATATTTATGATTTTAATACTAGCATATCTAATTATCTTGAAACTTCTGAATGCACAACAGAGCAGTTTTGTAAACATAATTAGCAAAACTTTTCAAAACATTTTAGCAACTCTTCTAAATATCATAAAGACTGCTTTATAGTAAATCAAGTTCTAGTAATCAACAATTATTT